GATCGACAACGGAAGCGTTTGGTTGATGTAGTCGTACGTCTTCACGATCCGACCGATCAAGCACCGAAACTACGGCACCTCCGAGTTTGAGCACACGTTCAGCTCGATGACGATCCCCAGACTCCGATCCAGCAAAGTGTCGGGGAAGAGTTCCGTCAGCACGACGGCGTGGTGACGATCTTGATGTACCACAGCAGCAGGGCTTCGCCTAAACTCCGCTACAGTATTATCGAGGACTATGGTGGCTGGGGGCACCGCACACGGCTAAGGAATAGATCACGTGGATCAACTTGTGTGTTTCTGGGGTGCCTCTGCCTCAGTATATAAAGGACTAGAGGGGGGAGGCTGGCCGGCCAAGGGTGGCGCGCCAGGAGAGTCCTACTCCCTCTGGGAGTAGGATCCCCCCCCCCAATCCTAGTTGGAATAGGATTCGTGGAGGGGGAAAAGAGAGAGGGGGGGGGCGGCCACCTCTCCTAGTCCTAATAGGACTAGGGGAGGGAGGGAGGCGCGCAGCCCATCTTGGGCAGCCCCTTCTCTTTTCCACTAAGGCCCATAAAGGCCCATATAGCTCCCGGGGGGTTCCGGTAACCTCCCGGTACTCCGGTAAAATCCCGATTTCACCCGGAACACTTCCGATATCCAAACATAGGCTTCCAATATATCAATCTTTATGTCTCGACCATTTCGAGACTCCTCGTCATGTCCGTGATCACATCCGGGACTCAGAACAACCTTCGGTACATCAAAATGCATAAACTCATAATATAACTGTATAACTGTCATCGTAACCTTAAGCGTGCGGACCCTATGGGTTCGAGAACAATGTAGACATGACCGAGACACGTCTCCGGTCAATAACCAATAGCGGGACCTGGATGCCCATATTGGCTCCTACATATTCTACGAAGATCTTTATCGGTCAGACCGCATAACAACATACGTTGTTCCCTTTGTCATCGGTATGTTACTTGCCCGAGATTCTATCGTCGGTATTCCAATACCTAGTTCAATCTCGTTACCGGCAAGTCTCTTTACTCGTTCTGTAATACATCATCCCGCAACTAACTCATTTAGTTGCAATGCTTGCAAGGCTTAAGTGATGTGCATTACCGAGAGGGCCCAGAGATACCTCTCCGACAATCGGAGTGATAAAACCTAATCTCGAAATACGCCAACCCAACATGTACCTTTGGAGACACCTGTAGTACTCCTTTATAATCACCCAGTTACGTTGTGACATTTGGTAGTACCCAAAGTGTTCCTCCGGTAAACGGGAGTTGCATAATCTCATAGTTATAGGAACATGTATAAGTCATGAAGAAAGCAATAGCAACATACTAAACGATCGGGTGCTAAGCTAATGGAATGGGTCATGTCAATCAGATCATTCTCTTAATGATGTGATCCCGTTAATCAAATAACAACTCATTGTTCATGGTTAGGAAACATAACCATCTTTGATTAACGAGCTAGTCAAGTAGAGGCATACCAGTGACACTTTGTTTGTCTATGTATTCACACATGTATTATGTTTCCGGTTAATACAATTCTAGCATGAATAATAAACATTTATCATGATTATAAGGAAATAAATAATAACTTTATTATTGCCTCTAGGGCATATTTCCTTCACACGGCTAGACAAGCTAGGCATGGTAACATATGGAAAACTAAATCTAGACCATTATAATGTTGAAAGATTGACTATAGAAACAGAGAGCGGCGTTAGATGCACCCGGTTGAAAACAAATTCGTAAAAAATTCAGAAAAATTCAAAAAATTCCAAAAAAATCTGGATGGTAGACAATTTGTTGCGTGAGGTACGCTCCAATTTTCAAAACATTTGGACTTCTGTGCAGCTCTCAGCAAAAAAGACAAATCAGACCAGAACAATATATGAACAGTGCACATTTTTACAGACCTCCGATTTGTTTTTTTTTGCTGAGAGCTGCACAGAAGTCCAAATGTTTTGAAAATTGGAGCGTACCTCACGCATCAAATTGTCTACCACCCAAATTTTTTTGGAATTTTTTGAATTTTTCTAGTATTTATTTTGATTTTTTTCGTGAGCGCAGGTGCAGATGAGCTCGGGCTCAGATTCGAATTTTCCATAGAAACACTGCTTTACTGTTCTCCAATTCCTCAAATTGTTTTTCCCTCATATGAAAACAGAAATAATTGGTCAACTCCAAACATTATACTCCCTTCATTCCACAATGTAGTGCTTCCTCTATCCCCGTGCTTCAACTTTGATCATACGTTTAACTACCAAGACCGATTGCGGCAGGAGCAAAAATTATATCAGTGAATTTGTATTCGAAAGAAGTTTTCGATTATATAATTTTTTCTCCCGCCGCAGTTGGTCTCGTTGGTTGAATTTATGGTCAAAGTTGAACCTCAGGAAGCGCGGGCACACTATATTTTGGAATAGAGGGAGTATTGGTCAAGTGCCCAATATAATATAGGTGCATAATGGAAGTTTGTGTGTTGATCAATGTATTGCAATATTTATCCCAATGTTAACCTTCTGGTTCATATTTACACTTGAAAAATCACCATGTCATTAAAGAAAAAAAATTGAGGATCAGTCTAGTACGAGCTATTTTTATATTTATAGCATTGCAAAACCGAATGCATGAATCATATGCACTTTATCATAGTAGTAGCATATACTAGTGTCATATGTATGACAATAGTTAATAGAATATAACATACATTGAGAAATCATATCATGGCGGTAGAAATGGTAGGTGATTTACTTCCATGACTACCGCCCTTGTTGGTAGTAACATACAGTAGTGTCATATGTATGACAATAGTCTAAGTTACTCCCCAAAGAAATCACGAATGAGG